TGGACCAATGAGCAGCATCACAATAAATGGAGAGAAGATTGAGGTTGTCAAAGAATTCACGTTGCTTGGTTCTACAATTGATGCCAGTGGAAGCAGCAGTCAGGGCATTAGAAGATGTGTAGCATTGGGAAGGTCAACCGCAAAGGAACTGTTTCAACGCTGAGGAGCAAGGATGTCTCCTTAAGGACTAAGGTGTGCCTGACACAAGCCATGATATTTCCAGTCGCCTCGTATGCATGTGAGAGCTGGACAATGCATAAGGAAGACCGAAGAAGGGTTGATGCTTTTGAGATGTGGTGCTGGTGAAGAATGCTGAAAGTACCATGGACTGCTAAGAGAACTAACAGATCTGTCCTGGAGGAAGTGCACCCGAAATGCTCCTTGGAAGCGAGAATGGCCAGACTTCGTCTCACCTATTTTGGTCATGTTGTCAGAAGGGACCATTCCCTGGAGAAGGATGTCATGCTTGGTAAGGTAGAGGGTCGATGTAAAAGGCAAAGGCCTTCAACGAGATGGATAGACATGGTGGCTGCAATGATGGGCTCAAGTGGGGGATAGCAGGGATCGTGGAGCTGGTGTGGGATCGGGCGGTGTTTCGTTCTGCTGTGCATGGGGTCGCTATGAGTCGGAAACGACTCGACGGCACCTAACAACAACAACAACAAGGAGTCCATAGGAGTTCCTAGGTGGCACAAAGAGTTTGGCTACTAACCAAAAGGTTGATGGTTCAAACCCACCCTGAGATGCTTTGGAAGAAACGCTTGGCAGTCAGCCTCTGACAGGTCACAGACGTGCGGCTCTGTCCTGGAATGCGTGGAGTTGCCATGAGTTGGAATGGACTAGGCAACTGAAAATTGAGTCCTGGCGGGGGGAGCTCTAGGGTTTTTGCCTTAGGAGACCTCAGCTCCAGGGAGCCTAGAAACTTTCGGATAGCCCCAGCCTCCCTGCCAGGTGGAGGGCATGGGCAGCCCTAGAGGAGACTCTGCCTGCCCTCAAATTGCTGTACTAGCCCCTTGCCTTTTTCATTCCCAGGAGACCCAGAGCTGGCAGCAGGGACACTAAAACCCCCCAAAAAACCCAAACTTACTGCCGTTGAGTTGGATCTGACTCATAGCAACCCCTCCTTGGGTTTCCGAGACGGTATCACTCTGAAAGTAGATTGCCCAGCCTTCCTTCTGAGGGGTGGCTGGTGGGTTTGAACTGTTATCCTTTTGGTTAGCAGTCAATAGTAGAAGTGTTGGGCAACAGAGTGACAGTCCCTAGAGGATGGGGGTGGAGGAGGTGGGGGGTGGAGGCACATGCTGGTCTTTGCTTGCAAACCAGGCACCAGAGCTCTGGAGGTTTCAGTTGGGAGGGGCTTTTGGACAGTTTTCGCTTCTCAGAAAGCATGTTGACCAGTGAGTTGGATTGAAGGCATGGGCACTGATCGCTGGCAAGCTTCGACCTGTGTCAGGTCTCCAGCTGGCTGGGGGTGGGTGGGTGTGGGGGTAGGTCAGAGGGGGGGAGCTCAGATGATTGCTGGCAGGAAGAGAAAGTTATTCTCCCACTGCTGAGGCCTGTGGTTTCTAATATTGACTCCGGCTCCCTGGTCTGGATCACACTAGACTGGGAGGGGTGGGCAGACTGGGGTGGGAGAGGGCTGGGCCTTGGGGGCATTCAGGGTGACGCCTGCAGGGTGGAGATGATAAATAAAAACACTTATTGAGAACTCAGGATGTGGCAGACTCTGTTCTTGGGGCTTGACCCGATGGATGTATATCGTTGGAGCCTCTCAAACCCTATGCGATGTAAGGGCAGTGGAGGAGCAGGATGAAGGACCTGTTGGAGGTTACCAGCTAGCTAGAAGCAGAGTCAAGAATGTGAACCCAGGTGGTCTGCTGCCCACGCTTGTGAAGCAAACCCCAAGCCCCAAACCAGTTACCATCGACTTGCTTCCAACTCACGGCAAACCCGTGCGTGTCAGAGTAGAACTGTGCTCTGTAGGATATTCAGGGCTGATTTTTTGGAAAAAAAAAATTTGGGGGAAAAAAAAAATCACCAGGCCTTTCGTCTGAGGTACTTCTGGATGTGTTTGAACCACCAACCTGTGGGTTAGGTAGCCAAGAGCTGTTGTGTCACTCAGGGACTCCAGCCTTGTTGGGGTGTGATGCTGGGGGCCAGCAGATCAGCAGCAGCTGGACACTTGTTAGAAATGCAAACTCTGCAGGCCCGCCCCCACCCTTTACTGAGTCAGATGTTCTGGGGAGAGGCCATCTGTGTCTCAGCAAGCCCTCGGGAGATTATGATGCAGTGCAAGTCTGAGGCCAGCTGGCCAGTCAGGAGGCTGTACCCTGAAGAGAGTGGAGACAGTGGGGGTCTGTGGTAGGACTGTTGCCTTCTATGAGGGAGATCTGGGTTCACTTCCCGGCCAGTGCGCCTCCTGTGCAGCCACCACAGACCGTCCGTGAAGGCTTGTGTGTGTCTAGGGTGCTGAGCGGGTTTCAGCTGAGTTTCCATATGGGAGGAGAAGCCTGGCAATCCGCTTCTGAAATCAGCCAGTGAAGACCGTGTAGTTCACAACGGTTAAATCCCATTGTGTGTGGGGTTGGTGTGAATGAGGGGCCAACTCCCTGAGGCAAAACAGCAATCCAGAAGAGAGGAGAAGAGCTCCGCAGGAAGCAGGCTGGGGCTGTCTGTCTCAGCCTATGTCTGTCCTTTCCAACCCTCTTTCTAGGGAGGCTGGGTAGTAGAGTGGTTAAGAGTGAGGACTTTGGAGTTGGGAGAACAGGGTTTAAATCTCAGTCCTGCTACATAGGACCTGCACACAAATGTTGCCTGTGACCTGCCCTTTCTGGCCTCCAAAGAGGCAGTTCAGAAGGGAGGCAGTTGGGTCAGCCAGGATGCCCACATCAGAGTTACGGAGCTGGGAAGAGCTAGGCGGGGCAGGAGGGAGGTAGGTTGGGGTGGGCTGACAGTGTTGGAGAAGACTCTCCCAGGCTGGATCCCAAGGGGAGTGATGGGTGGGACTGGGTGGTTGTTGTTGGAGATGAGGGGGAATTTAAAAATCAGCTAGGGGACGTCCCTGGGATTGGGATTAGCAGACACTCCCATAGCTCCTGGAGCCTCATGCATCCTTCCTCTGGCAGGGACCCTTGAGGATTTCCCAGAGGGCTCGTTAGCCCCCTGCCCAGGGGCCTGTGCTCAGGAGGAAGGCCCTGGTAGCACATGGGCTAGGTTTAGGGTTGAGCTCCTGGAATGAGGGTTGTGGGGGGAATGTGGTGTTTATAGTCCTCCTTCAGAGCCATCCTCAGACTCCAGGGGAAGGACAATGGAGTGGGGGTGTGCGATGGGAGCAGTGCATAAATATGAGGGGCTGGCTGATGTGTCTCCCCCGCTCCCTAGACCATGCTTTCCCTTTACCATCCCAACCTCCCTTTCCCTGAGCTACTCAGTAGGTTTCATGCTATGGAAAGAAGTTTTGGGCACAGCATCCTGTCTTCCAGGCAGAAGGGTTAAACAAGTCTGGACTATATCCACAAAGAGCCCTACTACGCTCTGCTTAACCCATTTTCTTCCTCCATGCCCATCTTGGCCCAGTCTTCCTCCCTGGATGCCAGAGGCCATTCTGTCCATTCCTCTGCCTTCAGACATGAACAGCTAGCTCATCCCTCACATCCCAGGGATGGGTTGGGGAACAGGGTGTTTCCTATTCTAATTGCTCTTTCTTAAACCTCATCCATGCTCATCTTTGCAAAAGCTTGTTTCATAACCTTTGCAACCATGTCCATGTCATTTGTGTGATTCAGTGGCCAAGACCCACTTTCCTGAGTTGGAAATGGTCCGCAAGGTCCATGGTTGGTCTGGAGAGTTCAGGAGGTGGACCTGAAATAGGAAGATTCACTTTCTGTTCAAAGGAGCCTACCTTTTTGGGATGCCTTTAATAAGAAGCCCTTCTGTTGGTCTGAGCAGAGGAAGGAGGTGCCAGCGTGAGGGACAGGATCAGTCATAAGTGTTTATTGATGGTCTGCTGACCATGGATTGTGGTCCCTGGCATGAGGAAGCTTAAACCGAGTCGTTAACAATGCTATGAATCTGTTTTGGAGGCAGATAGGATAAGAATGCAAATAAAGCAATAATTGGAGAAACAAGTCATAATCGCACAATGATATTATTTATAACTAAGGACCAGGTAAGAGGTATAGACAGTGAAGCGTATTGGAGCTCAGATATAGCCCACTTACTTGGGTGGTCCAGGAGGGCTTCATGGAGGAGGAGAGATCACAGAAGAGGGGAAGATATTCCACAGGCAAAGGCCTGGCTGTGGGAATAAGCAAAGAGAGCATAGGAGGCAGGTCTGGGTAGAAGAGAGCTTTGGTGCGTGGAAATTAGGTCTGCAGGGGGCCTGGGCCAGTGGTGGGGTGGGGACATTGAATGTCCACTGAAGAATCAGGACTCTGCTGGGCTTTCTCCTCCCACACTGCTGGCAGTGTGTGTAGAGAGCATGAATCATACAGCCCCAAGCCTGGGGTTCAGATCCTAGTGTCCTTCTTCCTAGTTGATGACCCAAGGTGGCTCATTTAACTTCTCTGAGCCTGAGGCTTCTTATCTGTAAAATGGGGCTGAAAGGTGATCATGGCATCTGCCTCCGTGGGTCCCTCTCCATGGGTCTGCCTCCGTGGGTCCCTCCGTGGGTCGGTGTAGGTGAAGATTGCGGCTGCACTGTTCATTGCTCCTTGTTCCTTTTGAGGAGTCAGAGAGTGTATTTCAGAGGCAAAGTGCTGGGCAGCAGCAGGGGTCCCTGGTGAAGTTTGTAGAACCACGTGCTTCAAGTCCCCATAAGATTGTGTTTTATTTGCCAAACCTGCCTCCCAAGCTTAAGACAAGCCAGGCTATGCCTGAGTCTTGGGTTGGTGTTATGTCCCCTGCCCAAGAGGCATTTTACCCGGCCTGGACACTTGCCTGGGGAGAAAGCCAATCCTGGGGACCTGAGGCCTCATGCTGTTTTCTCCCTTTGTCTACAGCCCATCAACCCTGAGAGTGCCCAGAGGCATGTAGTGGACACGGTGAGTGACAGCGGTGTGGCGGTGTGGCGAGGTGGGGACAACAGCGTGGCCAAGGGTAGGGAGGCCGGAACACAGAAGGCAGACTTGTGAAGAGAAAGTGAAGAGATGTGTTAGGGGAAATCCTTCTGGAGTATACTTGGGGAACCTGAGGGGAAGTGAGTAGTGTTGGGAGCCAGGCATCTGACTATCCCTGTGTGTTTGGAAATGAGTTGCTGGGGAACTAGGCAGGCGGAAGGGCAGAGACGGGTGGCAACTGAGAGGAGGAGAAGCCAGTGGGGAAATGCTGGCTTCTTTATTAAATATGCAGAAGGTGAGACAGCTGAGCAGAGCTTTCCAGACAGATCTTTCTGATTTAGCAGAGAGAGAGACACATTTCCTCAAGGCTGCATGAAAGAGGAAGGGAAGAAAGTGGGTGGGTCCTGAAGTGGGGAAACCAAGTTAGCAGCTTAGAGACCTCTCCTGTGAGTGATACGCAAATACTTCATATCCCCCTGTACCCCAGCCCTAGAAACATTGCACACCCATATTGGGGCCTTCTCCAGCACATGTACCCAGTGCCCTTAGGAACCCATGCATACCTTGGCATTGACTGTCATGTAGGCATGGGCTTGGAGTTGGAGGGCTTAGGTTCAAATCCTGACTCCACTAAAATTCTAATTGTGTGACTGCAGGCAAGTTGCAAGGTTGTCTAAGCTACAGGTTTCTCATCTGCAGAATGGGAATAATGTCTCCCACAGGAGTGGTCGTGAGACATGAATGAGCAGGCTTGGTTATCTCTGCGGGGCACTTAATGGACAAAGTAACGTTAAACAAATAAACACGGTCCCCTCCTAGATCTCTCTGCCAACGGCCTGCCCCCCAAACCCAGAAGGTGAGAAACCTGGGTGCTCTCCCATTATTTTCCTTGATTCCTCTCTCTGCTTCCTTTTCTCTTTGTCTGCAGGGAGAAGGGGCCTCCCGGGGTGGAAACACACGAAAAAGCCTTGAGGAAGACGTAAGTATGGGGGCAGGTAATGGGGTGGGCAGTAGTTGATATCTCAGCCCTGCCTGGTTAGGTGGGGCCTCATCTCTAGAAAGGATCATGAACAGGCCCCATTGAATTACAGACTGGGCCTCAGCTGTGGCCTTGGCCTCGAGTTAAGCTGAGTCCAGAGCTCATGTGCCCATCACTTTGCCAGACCTTAGTGCTCCAGGATGAGGAGGGAGGAGTGTGGCGGGCTTGCTGTGCGAGGCCTGGCTTGGTGATGAGCAGTCCCTGAGAGAATACTGGAAATGGGCAGAACCCACGGTGAGAGGACCAAGGTCAGAGATGAAGAAGGACCCCTGGACTCCTAGAGGGTCATAAGGCTTTGGGAAGGTATAGTGTCTCCTCCTTTAGAGAGAGGAGACTTTGACATTGGGAAACTCCTCTGGGTGCCTAAGTGCCATTGATTCAGGGGGAAGCTGTACGTTGGGCTTGTTGGTCCCCCTAGGCTCCTTCTGCCTTGCGTTCTTGGTGGGGAGCAAAATGGGCCAGTTCTTTAAATGAAGGCACTCAGAGAAGGGCAGAGCAACGTTTGTCTCAGGCATGTCTTCACACCAGGGACAGACTCCCCACCAAAGTTGGGCTCTTCTCTGGCTTCCCTTCCTTTCCCTTCTCTGACGGCTGCCCCCCTGCTGGCCTCTCCACCCTGGCTGCCCAGATCACCAGAGGAACAGGGAGTGGTTTTGGCGGTTGGCACAGGGGGAACTGTTGATGGCATGAGGCCCTATCATCTGACAGCTGCCTGACCCACAGTGGGGGTGCTGAAAGGGCGGTGCTGGGGTGAGAAGGAGGAGGCCACTCCTGTAGACAGCCACACTCTGGGGGGAGCCCACTGCCACTGCCACACTGCCCCCTGGGCAGCCCTGCACGCCCAGCCTGCAGAGCGGAGGCATCCTGAGGGCCACATAGGCCCTGCAGGAGGAGCAGGGAGCATGGCTCTCAAGTTAGCAGGGAAGGCCCTGTTCAAGGTACGTATGGATTCATAAGGGCACCAGGTGCATGTGCTGGGGAGGGGGGCCCTATATCAGTGTGCATTGTTTCTGGGGCTGGAGTACAGGGGAAAATGAATTATTTGTATATTACTACTGCTACTGAAGATTGGGAGCTCTGGTGGTGTAGTGCCTAAGGCATTTGACTGCTAACCAGAAGGCTGGCAGTTCAAACCCACCAGCAACTCCTTGGAAGGAAGATTGGGCAATCTATTTCCGTAGCGATACCGCCTCAAAACCCCAAGGAAGGGGTCGCTATGAGTCAAATTGACTCGATGGCAGTGAGGTTTGGGTTTGTTACTACTGAGGATTAGATAACTTGATGCATGTGAAGCATTTAATATGTGCTCAATAAGTGTTAGCCACTCTCATTACTGTTATTTTGACTAAGGGCCAGAAACTGGACTGGGTATTTATTTGTAGATCCTTTGACACCCCGGTGCTATGTGAGGAAACAAAGGCCAGTGACTCCATGAATGCCTTCTTCATCCCTTCCTGGGATGGCTGCTTGGATCTGATGTTATCTGGGATTCCTAACCCTTGGCTGGGGAACAGGGTGACTGTGTGTGAGCCAAGCCCATTAGCCAGTGATCTGGGCATGCTTATAAGCCAAGTTCAAGAGCTGCTGCTCCTCACATCCCCAGCCTGGGCCAGACTGATCCTGTAAGCGGGAGCTCCAGCAGGGAAGAGTGAAGTTAGATATCACGAAGAACTTTTGACCATGAGGGTGTGTATTACCTTGGTGCTGGGAAAGAGGTGGTACTTTAGATGGGATTAGAGGTTTTTTTTTTTTTTTAAGAAAGTTTTTTTTTTTTTTTTTCTTTTTTGATCAGGAATATGTGTGTTTGTGTGTGCACATACACATGTGGGATGAGTAATGGTGGTTGATGTCTTGTGGATTTAGGAGAAGGGATGAGATGAGTTTTGGTCTAGTTAGTCTAGTTAAAGGATAACATGAGTGAGCAGTTTCTGGGATGGGCTGGGTACTGCAGAGGAGAAAGACCTTTTGAAGATTCCCAGATGTACGTCCCAGCTTGAGTGACCCTGGTCCCTTGCCCCAGCCATTGGGCTTTCCTACAGTCCGTCCACTGTGGGCAAGGAGAACCCGTTTGGAGGCTGCCTTGTTGCAGCCCTGGGCTGCTGCTGTGATAATGTGCCTGTTTGTTGGGATGTTTTCCTGTCTCTGGCCCACAGCCCGGGACTCACAGGGCAGGAGTGGCTGTTTTCCGCCCGCGTAGTTGGTGTATAGTGGAGTTTGCGGATAGTGTGCTGTGTCGCAGTTTGTTTTGGAAAAATCCAGGCTGGTGGGCAGGAAGGAGAGAGGAAGGGGTGTGGCTGGAGGGGCTGGGGAGGGGGTTGGCCACAGCCCCCAGAGGAGATGTTGGAATGGGGATGGGCCCCTGAAATAGATTGTTCCCCAGTCTCAGGCTGCCTGGCGTGGCCCTTGGTGTTGACTTACAGACCCTCCTCCCAACTGTGCCCCCTGGGGACTGGGGCTCAGGAAACAGCTTTTCTTCTGGTCCAGCGCTGTGGTGTTTGGTCTGTGGACCTCAAATGAAGGCAGGAGTCTTCTCACACAGTCGCTGTTCCAGTCCCACCCTGCCCAAGGCCTGAGGCTCCCACTTCTTGCTGCATGGGGGGAAGAAGGGGCTGAATAACCAAGTGTGGAGTCATGGACCTGAGCCACCCAGAAAGTGCCTGAGTTGTGATCAGCTTCTCTGGCCTATGTCAGGGTCAGGGGTCTGCAGCAGTAAGGGTTAGGGTTAGATACCAGGAAGGACTTCTTGTCAGTGAGAGCAGTGAGTCACTGGGGTTTCTAGAGGCTGTGGAATCTTCTTTTATGGATGGGCATTCATTCTTTCAGCAAAGGAGAGGGGATGAGGTGATGAGGACAGGGGAGAATTCTGCTTGGGGGTCATGGAACTAGACTAAGAGTTCAGTTCTTGATCTCTGTTTGGGAGCAGCTGTGAGGAAGTCCAAAGTCATGTGAGTAAAGGGCATTGAGACCCCCAGACAGGAAAAGAGTGAGAATGAAGGCAGAGAGGAGTGGTGGGGGGTGCGAATGGTTGATGCCTTGGCTGCTAACTGAGAAGTTGGAAGCCCAACTCCACCCAAAGGCTCCTTGGAAGAAAGGCCTGGCTGTCTACTTGAGGAAAATGAGCCATTGAAAACCCCGTGGAGCACAGTTCTGCTTGGACACACCTGGGGTCACCATGAGTCAGAGTCAACTCGTTGGCAACTGTGCTTTTTAATAGGTGGAGAGTCTTTTTTTCTTCTTAAAAGAAAAATCTTTGTAGTATTGTCTGTAAAGCCGCCTAGCCCCCTAGTGATTTTCCCTGAGGCTCTAAGTGGAGCAGGTAGGCAGTGATGTGAACAGGGTCCTCCTGTTTTACCAATGGGTGAATGAGATGGAGCACGTACTTCTCACACCAGGTCTTCTGAGCAGTGTCTTCCCCAGCTCTCTGAGGTCAGGGGCTTCGCCTCCTCTATTCCTTGGTTCCTGGGACAGTGCTGGGCATGCAGGAGGCGTCTCTCAATGAACTTTGAATAAATGAGGGCCTGAACACAGTGATCAATGGGCACAGAGATGCTGGGATGTCTCCGCTCACGTTTACCCCTCTTGAAAACGGCATCTGTGATTCTGCACGCTTCCCCAAGTGCCTCCTGTCCCTCTGTGTGAGGTCACAGTGTGTATGTGAGCATTGGGTTGTGTGTGGTTTGTTTGTCCACACGCCTACCTGCCCATTCACTGTCTTCGTGGGCTGCCCTGGGGGCCTATGTACACCAACACTTGGACGTGTCCCCTCCCGCCCGTCTGCTGTTTGCCAGAAAGTATCACATGCCCCCAAACAGAAAACAGGAAGCCCTGTCAGTTTGAGGGCAGCCCAGTGATTCATCAGGACCTGACTGTCCAGCTGTTGGTCCCCCTCCTCTGCAATGGGGTCACCCTCTAGGGCAGCCGCCCCCCCCCCCCCCCCCCCCCCCCCCCCCCCCCCCCCCAGTCCCCAGCCAGCCTGGCGGAGCACAGAGCCCGGACTTTGCCTTATCACCTTTGAGGCGGCATGGCCAGACTGTTGGGGCCAAGTTTTTATTTATCTTCCTGGCTTTTTGGGGTGGGGAGGCTGAGGAATGTGGTGTGTTGTAATATTTGGAAGAGGGGGGTGGAGAAACAGGAGCCAGGTCTCCTGGCGGCTCATCCTCTCGCCCTGCACCTTTGGAGGCTCCCAGCTTTCCTTGGCCCCCCAGTTCCCTTGCCAAGTCCATCTCAATATGTCTCATTGTCTCCCTCCAACTCTCTGGGCCTGGACCCATTCTCCTGGCCACGCTGTGAGTCTTGGCTGCTGTGTGGCTTCCAGTTGTTCAAAGCAGCTGTGGTGGCCTCTCTGCAAGTGGCTGTGGCTCAGCAGCAGATGAAACCCAAGGGGCTATTTATAGCAGGGTGGCCCTGGGGCCTGAGCAGGGCCTTGGGCTGGGGAGGTTCAGCGACTCCTCATCAGGACCGAAGGAATGGAGATAGATGAAGTGCTGGATTTCTGAGTGCCTCTGGGTGGGGAGTTTTGGAACAGGCTTTGGGGCTTGAAAACCAAACACAACCTCTCCTTGCCTTCCTCCACCCCCTGGCCTGACTCATGCAAAACCTAAGTCCTTGGGGCCACAGGAGCTGTAGACACAGAGCAACTTTCTGCCCTGACAGCTCCACTTGGCTGCTTCCTTCCCTCGCTGCCTCTGCTGATGCAGTTCTGTGCCGAATGCAGCAGGCAGAGGGGCACTGGGCAGCAACCCTCTCTCAGGATGGCTGGATGGAGAGTGCTCTGCTTGCTGGGGCCGCCCTAACCTTGTGTGGAGCTGGGAGCCGGGCTTGAGAGCCCACCCACTTCACCCCGTAAGCTTTGCAGGCCAAGGCTGAATGGGGCTCCTCTCTCCTTGGGACCCTTGCAGTCAAGCTCCACATCTGACTGTGAATCCTGCTTGATTTAGCTTCCCAGGGACTTGAGGGTGAGTCACTCCATGCCTCAGTTTCTCCCCTCCTGGCCAGGTTATGGTCCTGTGTCCTCCTAGAGATGGCTGTGACTTGGTGTCATATTTCTGGGAGGCGCAGGAGTGTCGAAGAGCTAGCAGGCTCAGAGGGCTGAGGCTGGGCCTGGAATCTAAAAGCTGGGAGTCCTGACTCTGCGTTGTGTGAGATGGCGAAAAGGCTGCATGGCTGCCAAGTGATGCAGGGTTTTTGATTTTCTGTAGAGGTGAATGTTTGGCTGTGTCTCTAAGGAACTGTTCTTTTATTTGTAATTGATGTAATAACAACAGCAATAATGACACGTATCTGTAAGTGCTGACTATTGTCAGATGAGGTCCCTGGGTCGAACAAATAGTTAACTCGTTCAGCTGCTAGCCAGAGACCCCTTGGAAGAAAGGCCTGGGGACCTACTTCTGAGACAGCAATGTGGAAAGCCCTATGGAGCTCAGTAGTACTTGGACACATGTGGGGTTGGTTGCCAGGAGTTGGAGCAGACGAAGGCAACTGGCCTTTTCTATGTCAGGCATTACGTGAAGGGCCTCATATGTGCACTTGTTTTAACCCTGACAGCAACCCTATGAGGCTGCCCCCATTTTACACGTGACGTTACAGAGGCGCAGGAGTTTAAGTCACTTGAGAGGCTGCCCAGTGAGATCCTGGCATCCAGACTGGAATCTGTGTGTCCCCACCCCATGCTTACACCACCACCAGCCTGCTGCCCTGGGGTGTTGTGACACAAAGGGCCCACAGACTCCAATTGGTTACTTGGCCTAATTTTGTACAAGTTGTCAGTCCTGAGAATGGGGAGTGAGTGAGAGAGATAATGGACATCGGGTGGTGGGTCCTTGGGAGCCACTGTCACTTGTTGCCATGGTCCCGTCTCGGTGCGTGTGTGCTTGATGTGTGTGTGTACCACACCTGGCTATTCTCCTCTCAAAACTTTGAATGAAATGAGTTGATGTTGCTTGTTTAAAGGAGAAGAGTGTAGGACCATGGTGATTGGGGGCTGGACAGAGGTGCACAATCCTCTCTTGTCTTTTTTTCATCTTCCATGGTTGCAGTCTCTGTTCTGTACTTGGGGTGGTGCTATTACAATGCTCCTGAGAATCGAGGTGAATGGGTTTCAGTCACTCAGTAGCTGTTTACTGAGTGAGTATTGGTGCAGATTGCCCAGACCAGGTGGGGTTCATTCTAGACAGTTGGGGTTTGTTCCCTGCCCAAGGCAAGAAGGACCATCCCTTGGGCTCACCCACATGCGGGCCCACTCATGCAACATTGACATTGTTTTTGGCTTTGGGTTGCTGTGTTGCTGGGGTCTTAGGGTGGCTGGGCTGGAATGCTGGCAGAGAAAGGAGTAGAGCATCTATCTGAGTTTGGCCATGCCCTGGGTACCACTGTGTACCCCTCTCGGCTGCTTGCTCCTTGCCACCTTGCCTGCCCCTCCATAATGCTGCCTCTCTTCTCTCTTTTCCCAGGGCTCCACCAGAATCACCCCGAGCAGTCAGCCTCATCCCCCACCCATCAGGTATGCCTGGCCCCCAGACAGTGGGGTCTGCACTGGGGGTGTGCCCTTCAAGTCTTGCCTCAGGGCCCCCAAAACTGAAACCGTAGAACCCTGGTAGGGAGCCTGGGTTGGGGTAGAGGTCACCTGGAAATGGTCAGGCTCTCAGTTCTTGATCTGAGCCTTGGATTGGATTCTTGGTTTACCTGCATGATTTCATTTGGTCCTGCAACAACCCTGCAAGGTAAGTCTTTGAGTCCCACTTGGAACGTGGTGGAGCTGAGTTACAGAGAGGTGAGATGGCTCGTTAAAGGCCACACAGCCACCACGAGGCAGGGGGCAGATTTGAATTTAGGAGTTTATTCTAGCGCCTGTGCTAGATCCCATTCCTCTCAGAAGATGGTTTCTGATGTTGGAGGGTCCCTTAAGGAAGGAAGTTCTCCATCTGGCTGGGCTGCAGGAGGTAGGGGAGAAGGACGGACAGGGGCTCTCTGTGTCTTGCTGATGCAGAGAATCTGCCCTCACCCTTAGTCCAGGTCCTCCGGCTTGGATCCCCTCCCTCTCTGCATTCTCTTTTAAGATCAGTAAGAATGCCAGTCCTAGCTGCCCTGGGAAGATGGAGCCCCAGCCAGAAGGGGCCAGGTATGTAGATGCTCTAGGACTTCCTGCCAGCTTCCTGCAGACCTGGAGGTGGCAGTTTAGGGAATCTCCACCTTCCCCGACAGCTGAGAACTGACTTGTGGCTAGTGGGTGCAAAGTGTGATGCTGAGCTTGTCCAGATGGTGGCGCTGTTCCACCTTCTCATGCTCCCTAAGAACCCGCCTGAGGATGGGGCAGCTCACGAAGTGCACCAGGTCAGATCTGTCTGACTGAGGCTTCTCAGGACGCTGTAAACTGTCCCCTCTCCATCTTGCTGTCCCTCCTGTGCTGAGGAAGAGGGTGGGAACATGAGGAGCTCAGCTTGTAAGTTTTTCTTACATGCCAGTGTATTCTTTGGAGCCAAGACAGAGAAGAGTAATGGAGTGTGGGGAGGTGGATGGTCCGAGTTAGCTGAGGCTCACTGTCCTCGTGTCCATTTCCTTGGGGTATGTGTGTGGTGCTTCTTTCCTCAGGCTGGTCAACACCTACAGCACTACCCTTGGGCAGGCAGTAGCCTGGGTGGGAACCTCACCCTACTGGTTGCATTGAGACACTTCCAGGAGGGGGAAAGAACAGTTGAGGCTCAGAGCTCAGACTCAAACTGGCCTCCTTACCTCTGACCACTGGCCCTGTGCCACTCTGTCCCCCATCATTCTCATCATGGAGAAGCCACACTTCATCGTTGGCTCATGCCTCTCCAAGTCCCATTGGAACAGTTGGGTGCAGACATACGTGATGGAGATATCGATTCTGCTGTGGCTCCTTGGTCCTAGGGCTGTCCTTCCCCACCTGAGAACAGCCTGCCATCTTTAAATACCCGAGTCCTTGGTGGTGGTATTCCTCCAGCTGCCTCTCCAGGCTCAACTCTGCCTGGAGGTTATCAAATGTGAGTGTTGCCCACTCTGGTTAGAAGGCAGAAGCGAGACACTAGGAGGCTAGTGTTAGGGTTAGAAGGTGTGGGGGTCAGGAGGTGTCTGTTCTCAGAAGTTCTGGTGGGCTTTAAAGTAGAACTTGAGAGTCCACTGCCCCTTCCTGACAGCTCCCCAATGAGTGCCCAGGCCCCTTCCCCTGGGAGAGAGAGAGAAACTGAGGGAATGTGTAAAGGTGTGAGCCCCTCCCTGCCCTGCCCAACACTCAGGGGTGTGAGCTGCCCAGCCCAAGGGCTCCCCACCTCTCTGAGGAGCACAGCTGGTGCAGGGATCTCTGGGGCTGCCTCCTCAGCACCCTCTGGTTGACTGGGCTCTTAGAAGTTGGGAATCCCATTGCCAGGAAGCAGCCCTTGCAGGCAGTGGGAGCTGCCAGAGGTGGGAAGAGAGCCAGGGAACGAAGGGCAGGAGGTGGCCTGCCTCTGGGGAGGGTTGGAATGCTCTCTGTGGTCTGCCTATCCTGGAACCCAAGTGAGCATGTCACCTGAGCTGCCCGCTCGCCCTGAGAGGCCCCCCGGCCCAGTCCACAGCTCCAGAGCTGGGGAGAACAGCAGGGGTGCAGCTCTAGGATGCTGGAGAGCACCCAGCTCAAGCTTTCATTCCCCTTCAGGAACAGTCAGGTGCCTCCAGGAGACTTCTTCCTGACCAGGTGGCAACAGCGTGTCATGAGGCAGAGCCGGACTCCTGGGTTGCTGGGTAGCTGGTCATTTCTGGCCCTAGCCCTGACCTCTGGAACCCCAGGTCCAAGGCAGTGCCAAAAGGATTGATGGGAGCTTAGAATCAACGTGATCTCTGAACATCTAGAATTGGTGTTTGATTCTGAAATGGTCCGAAGTCCCTCCCAGCTGCAGCCCACTCCTGCCTCTCTGTACTTCCAGGTTGGCCCACTTGCCAGGAGAAACCTTCAGCCTTGGCTGTGGGTCAGCGAGCAGCCCAGCACCCTGGGTTGTATGTGGGAGTGATGCACGGTGTGTTGGGGTGCAGATATCTGTGGCTTGCCCTGGGCGGCTGGATTCTGATCCATCTCCCCCCACCCCTGTGTTCTCAGAAGCATGAGTGTGAGCCAGACCATGGAGGACAGCTGTGAGCTGGACCTGGTGTACGTCACAGAGAGGATCATTGCCGTCTCCTTCCCCAGCACAACCAATGAGGAGAACTTCCGGAGCAACCTCCGTGAGGTGGCCCAGATGCTCAAGTCCAAACATGGAGGCAACTACCTGGTGAGAGTGGGGCTTCCAGCCCACCGTCGGTGTCCCTTTGTCTTTTCATCTGCTTACCGCCTCTTCACTGCTGGTGCCTCTGCCCACTTGCTGCTGTCCCAGTGTCTTCTAGGGCTGATGTAACAGAAGTACCCCAAACTGAATGACTTATAAAACGGAAATGTATTGTGTCACAGTTCTGGAGGTTAGGAGAATGAAGTCAGGGTGGTGGCCATATTGACTCCTCAGGGCTCTGTTCCATGCCTCTCTCCTAGCTTCTGGTGACAGCTGGTGGTCCTTGACTTTGTAGATTACTCCAATCTCTGCATCCATCTTCACCTGGCCATCTTCCCTTCCTTATGCGTCTCACTGTCTGTCTGACTCTTCTCCTTTTTACAAGGACATCGACTCAGATTGGATTAGGACCCACCTGACTCCAGTATGACCTCATATTAACTGATAACATCTTCAAAGACTCTTTCCAAATAAGGTTGTATTCATAGTTACTGGGGAGTTAGGACTTGAACATACCTTCTTTGTGGACACAGTTCAATCCATAACACCCAGCTATTCCTCTTCCTTTTATTAACATGCCCTGCACACTGGGCATCTCTTGTGGTCTGAGTCTTCACTCACTCTCCAACCCAACTATGTCATGTTGTTGTTGTTGTTATGTGCTGTCGAGTCAGCCCCGACTCATAGCTACCCCTCCTTGAGTTTCCGAGGTGGTATCACTACAGAAGTAGATTGCCCAACCTTCCTTCTGAGGAGTGGCTGGTGGGTTTGAACCACCAGCCTTCTGGTTAGCAGTCAAGTGCCTTAGGCACTATGCTACCAGAGCTCCTAATTGTTATAAGGAGTGTATTTGGAACTGGAATGTAGCATCTGGAGCCCAAGTCATGTGCATGTGTGTGTGTGTTGACCAGGAAGAGAGAATAATAAAAGTTCATGTCATTGAACACTTGTAGCCAGGCCCTGTTACAAGTGCTTTCCACATGTGTAAGCTTCACAGCAGCCCTAGAAAGTAGGCACTTGCTAGAGCACAGAGAGGTGGGGCTATTTGCCTAAGGTCACAGGCCAGGAAGTGGTGGAGCTGGCAGTGTTGGCGCCTCTGAGAAGTCTCAGGGCAGTCGCTGCAATGTGCATCATAAGGCACCTTGGATGTCTGGCACCGGCTTAGCCCCTGACCCAGAAGAATTACCTGTGGGTGGGTGAGGGTGGCTGGTGATGGCCCCTTCAATGTTAGAAAGGCTGGTCTGAGGAATTGAGCCTGTCTTGGACTCCAGAGGAGGACTTGGGAGATACCTGGGAATTGGTCATATGGATTAGATCTGTGCAACCTCAGGGGGCTACCCCAGGGCATTTGAGCAGAGCTGGGATGTGGGAAACTATATTTAATTTCCTGCAGCTGCCATAACAATTACCACAGAGTCGGTAGCTTAAAATCCGAGAGTTTCCTTGCCACAGTTGTCCCTCTCTCCTCTGAAGGCTCTATGGGAGGGACCTTCCTTCTCTGGATGTCCTGTCCTCTTCTCTTCTTATGAGGACAGCAGTCATTAGAGTTAGGACTCACTGTAAATTCAAGATGATTTCATTTCAAGATCCTTGGCTAATTACACCTGCAAAGACCTTATTCCTGGAAAAAAGATCACATTCTGAGAATCCAAGTGAACATGAATTTTGGGGGATGCCATCCAAGTCACTGTACAGGCCCCTCTGTCAGCTGTGTGGAAGCTTTTCTTAAGAACCTGATCTGAAACATTAGAAAGCCTTAGGTTCAAATTCCTGGCTCTGTTCTAACTAACCAAGTGATCTTGGGCTCTGAACTTCTAAGCCTAGATTCCCCATCTGTAAAATGGGCATAATAACACTTACTACCTCTTACAGTTGTGGTGAGAATTAAGTCAGCTGTTCTATGTGAAATCCTGAGCACAGTGCTGGCAGGTGGTGGTCACTCATTGAATTGTAGCCACTATGAACATAATGAAGAGTGTTTGTTTTCGTGGTACCTGGGTGGACTAGACATGTATAGGATGCTTTGCGCTTTCATGAATCCAGGATCCTATGTGTCTGTGTGCTGTACCATCCTCTCACCTCAGATAGTGCTGTCTCCAGTCTTGAGTCTTGATCTCCCTTCTTTTTTCCTCCCCAGTAGACAGTACAGTGATCTTTGAGTTTCCTAGGCAGGGAGGCAGGCCCAACAGGCAACTGTGAGTAGAGCTGGGTGAAGGTGGGGAGTTTGAGAGGCTTCCTGAAGAAGTAGAGATAGCAATTCTAGACAATGAGATGTTTCTGTAGGGGTGAAGATGTGGGGGTTTCCTAAGGGTATAGTTAAGTGTTAGAGGGAATCTGATGGGAGAGGGGTGTTGAGAGGACCCACACAGGATGGTTTGTACCTTCTCATGGAAGCTGTCTGACCACAGAGAAGTTGTATCTTGTGTGAGGTGAAGTTCTAAAGTCATCATGCGAGGTGGAAATCAGACATGGATAAAATGGTTATCATTTAGCACCAGACGCCTATCAGTATGGTGAGATGTCCCCCCTTGGGGGTGGTACATGGGACCTGAAACAGGTTCCAACCTCTTCTCATCATCAGGACTTCAGCCACTGAGGGAATATTGACTATTTATGTATTTCTCTCTCTTTTTTTATCCCCAAGAATCTATACTTGAGTTCCTGTAGGTAAAATATATGTCTGATGGGACTCCATTGTATTTTCATGTATGAATAGAACTTCCATTGAGTGAGGGAGAATGAGAGAGAGAGAACGGATGGAGATGGGGCAGAGGTCCAAGTAGCTCATGGTTTGCCTGTGGCAAAGGCCCCTGGCTGTGACAGGACCACCATGTTCTGTTCATCAATGGAAAGGACCCCTTAGAGGAAGTTGGAGAAGACACCCCAGTCCCTAGTGGGACCCAGTGGGCTCCTTGCCACAGTTCTCCCTCTCTCCTCCTCATCCCTCCGCATCCATGATCTCTTCCTTTTTTCTCCTTCTAGCTTTTCAATCTCTCTGAGCGGAGACCTGACATCACCAAGCTCCACGCCAAGGTGAGCTGATGGCCACCTGAAGAGAATGAAGGTGGTGAATCCCACTGGTGGAAGGGGACACATTAGAATGTTGGGAGAAGTGTTGTGACAGTTTGAAAGGCCGATTCCAAGTTAAAAAGCCATCTTATATTTGGGAAATGGAAAATAATATATTTCTTGTTTTCATAATACAAATTACAGCGAGTAAAGCTGGGCATAGTGATTTCCCACCAGACCTTGAGGGCCATGCGGAATCTCTGGAGTGAGGCTGGGCTTGAGAGATTGTTTGTTGTACTGAAAACTGTCATGGATTGAAAAGGGTTTGGGAATGGCTACTTTAGACATTTCTGCTGCCAGTTCCTACTGTGTTTGCTCAGGGAGTCTCCAGTGGCTTTGCCCTGGCTGTTGGATCTCGGCTCCTGGCTCCTTGGGCCTGTTGCTGTGAGACCCTGGGAAGGCAACAGGACTTCACTTGGCCTCAGTTTGCACCTCTGAAAGTGGACAGGCTCATTAGAAGTGATTTCCAGGCCTTTCCAAGTAGAAATTCTCTTTGACTTTAAAGTTCTGTGAGTTTAGAAAAGTTTTAAGAAGACTGAAGGCTCTTAAGGAACTCTGGTGGTGTAATGGATAAGGCATTTGGGTGCTGACCAGTAGGTCAGTGGTTCAAACCCACCAGTTGCCCCATGGAAGGAAGATGGGGTGATCAACTGTAAAGATTTACAACCTTGAAAACCCAGTGGGGGTTGCTGTGAGTCGGATTCGATTCAACGGCAATGAGTTTGGTTTGAAGACTCTTAGCGTAGTGCCTAAGACACTTGACTGCTAACCAGAAGGCTGGCGGTTCAAATCCACCAGCCATCCTCAAAAGGAAGATGTGGCAATCTACTTCTGTAGTGATACTGCCTTGGAAACCCAAGGAGGGGTCGCTATGAGTCGGGTCCGACTTGACGGCACAGGACAACAACAACAATCAGATCTGTGCTTCTGTCCCTTTTGGCTCCTTTAGCTAGCCTGTGAGCTCTCATTTGCTGTGGAAATAATGATGGTCTGTGTGTCTAGGGCCTGGACGAGGCCTCAGCTGTCAGGGAGCCCTTTGCACTTCCTGCTGTTGCCCTAAGCCAGGCCTCAGCAACATCTGTGGAAGGAGGGCTTGAGGGCAAGACTGGGGTCCTTCAGCACTTTTTGAGGTCAGGGCCAGCTGGAAGGGGCCTTGGGGTCATTGGTTGCAAGCCTTTGTTTCATTCACATAAGAGGAAACTGAGACTCAGACGGGCTGTGATTTACCTGAGGCCCCACAGTGAGCCAGCGCCTGAGCGAGAGCAGGGTCCCAGCATCTCTGCTCCTGGGCCAGTGGCAGAGCAGGGCAGGAGCATCAGCCTGGGCGTTTGGTTCTGGCAAGTGGTGTGTGTGCTGCTCCCTCTCACTCATGGCTTGGACCCCAGGTACTGGAATTTGGCTGGCCCGACCTGCACACTCCCGCCCTGGAGAAGATCTGCAGTGTCTGTAAGGCCATGGACACCTGGCTCAATGCTGACCCCCACAACGTCGTTGTGCTACACAACAAGGTCAGAGTGGGGACTGCAATGTGTGGGGGTGGGTGTGGGTGTGTGGCAGGTGCATGAGTGTGGCTGTAGGGATCCTTGCCTGAGTGTGTCCACCTGCCTGTCTTTGGACTCTGTGAGCAAGCAAGTCCATCTGAGTTTGTTCACCTTTCTAGGGGATGATCGATTATCAGGGGGCACCCCAGGAAGTGGAGGGACTGTTCCCTCGAGAACAGTGTATAATAATTGTGTTTCTTCTATTTGAGGGTCATCCCTACCCTCTTTCTTCCCCTATATCCCCTTTTCTCCTTAGAGTCTCCCTGAGCACCACACCTGTTTCTAGCCTGCCTCTCCTTTCTTCCCAGGCTTCTGTGTGGGCCCTGGGGCAGTAAAGCTAGCCTTGGAAATAAAGGCTTTTGTGTTTGGGACTCTTGCAGGGAAACCGAGGGAGGATAGGTGTGGTCATCGCGGCTTACATGCACTATAGCAACATTTCTGCCAGGTAGGTGTGGCCCTGGGCCTTCAGCCTCTGACCATGGACAGCAGGAGTTCCACCTCCTCCCATGTCTTCTTCCTTTGGCACCGAGAGAGGATGAGGATGGGGTGGGGGAGCCTCCAGAAGATGCAAGGGCAGGAGAGAGGCTGAGGGCAGAAGGAGAGAGTCCCCTTCTCCATCTGGGGCTCCATGGGGGCAGCTTGGTGAGCAGGCCCAGTTATGGGCACCCAATCTGCCAGTTTCCTAGGGCCACTTTTCCTTGCCACACTGACGTCTGTTTCCCCAGGTGAGCAGGAGGGAGTCAGAAAGAAACATTGATCAGATCTGGGACCAGCATGGCCATCTAGAATCTATCTTGTCCATCCCCTTGCCTCTGGTCCCCAGGGACCTTCTCCTACCTAGGTTTTAGAGGAAGAATAGGGGCAACTTGTGATGATTCCATTTTTTCAGAGACAGAGGAATTCATTCCTTCACTTGTTTAGTCATTCAGCAAATGGTTATTGAATATTCACTGTGGTTGGCAGTGTTCTAGGTCCTGGGGATCCAAACAGCAGCAGGCAGAGCTTACTGCTTTCCCACAGACATGAAATGAGTGAAGAAAGGCATTGCATACCATCAGCTGATACATATTCTGTGAAAGAATGAGGACACAAGACAGTAGGAGAAGGGGTGGCCTAAGAGTCAGAGAAGATGATATTTGAGCAGAGTCTTGAGTTAATGTAGGGGGTCGGGGAGGATTGAGTCATATAAGTTTGGGGGATGAGCTTTCCAGGTAGAGAGAAAAGGAAGGACAGAGGCCTGAGACGGGGCTAGCATGTCTGGAGCCAAGGGAAAGAGAGGAAGAGTGGTAGGAAGTAAAGCCGGAAGGCAGTAGGGGGCAGAGCCCAAGGTGCTTTGTAGGCTTGATAAAGACTTTGGAGTTTATTCTGAGAGTGATGGGAAGTCATTGGAGATCAAGAGAGGGGAGCTACTGGGTCTAAGTGCTCCATGGAGATGGAGCAAGGATTCTGTGGAGGGCTTGCCAGAACGATGGTAGTTTATGACTCTAAGAACCCAACCCAGCCTAATCTTTGTTAATGCTGAATACTTCCTGTGCATCTATTATGTGCCAGCTCTTTCCATTACTTGATCAGCCTTTGAGGAAGGTGTGTTCATCACCTTTGCTGACAGGAGAGAAAAAGGAAGTTTATAATGATTTACGTCCCATGCCCAAGACACACAGCTAATGAGAGGCAGACTTGAGATGGGATCCCAGGCTGTCTGGCTCCAAAGCCCACATGCTGAATGGTCACCACATGGGCTGGAGAGATGCTGGAGCACTCCTTCCCTGAAAGCTTCTCAGCACAGGATGGCTGGAGAAGAGGCCTGTCCTCCCGCTACACATTGGGGAGGTCTCTGCAGGCCTAGAGGGGTAGAGGTGGAGGAAGAAGGACCCTTGCACATGAGAATCGTCTCCTTTCTTCTGACCACCTGTCTCTCCTTGCAGTGCAGATCAGGCTCTGGACCGGTTTGCGATGAAGCGGTTCTATGAGGATAAGATTGTCCCCATTGGTCAACCATCCCAAAGAAGGTGGGTCTCTGGTGCTCTCAGGTCAGTGCACGTGTGTGAGTACTTGCTGTATGTGGGGACTAGGCTTGTACACTCATAGGGGAGGGACCAGTGTGCCCAGGTGGGATGTACTGAGTGCAGGTGCTCAAATGTCAGCCTATGTGTATGGGTTCAGGACATGGGCGGGTCATCCGGTATACTGGCAGGTTGGCATGGCAGTTAGTTCCTGAGGCCCATGCAAAAGAGCAACGGGGTCATCTGGGGAGACAGGGGCATTAGTGGCTTGTGCTATTGTTGGCCCTGGAAGCATGGTTGCTCTGTGCATGGATGAGCCTTTAGAAGGCTGACATCATGTGCATCACTCTGAGAAGGGTCACCTTCAGTTAGGAGAGTTTTACCAAGGGCTTTCACCACATAGACTCATTGGAGTCTCATGATAGATAGCCCACGTAAGAAGCAGGACAGGCATGGATGGGATGGATGGATGGATTCATTTATTCATTCATTCTGTTGGCAAATTTTAGGCCTGCTACTCTTATCCAGGGAGCTCTGGTGGCATAGCACCTAAGGCATCTGACTGCTAACCAGAAGGCTGGTAATTCAAACCCACCAGCCACTCCTCAGAAGGAAGACTGGACAGTCTACTTCTGTAGTGATACTGCCTTGGAAACCCAGGGAGGGTTTGCTATGAGTCAGATCCGACTCGATGGCAGTGAGTTTGGTTTGGTTTTTTACTGTGTTCTAGGCAACAGCTGAAGAGGATAAAGTTCTTGCCCTCATTGAGCTGATATTCCATTGAGAGAGATGGACATTAAATGAGTAAACATACGAACACGACAGCTTCAGAGAGTGATAAATGCTGTGAATAAAAGGGAATAGTATACTACAGAGACAAGATCTGGGGAGATGAGAGAGGGGCTGTTTGATGAGGTGGTCAGGGAATGCTCTCAGAGGAGATGAAGTGGAGCCCAAACCCGAGTCATGATGAGCCACATAGGAAGACACCCCATCTTACAGATGAGAAGCCTGAGCCTAGAGACAGGGTGTGACCCGGTGTGACACGGCCAGGGTCCCGAGCCAGTGGAATTCACCTGAAGGCCTTGTAACTCTGGTTCTTGTTCTGCTGCCTGTTGTTCCACTGTACTTTTTGGGTGACATGTTTAATGGGGCCTGATCCACAGAAAGGCAAGGGGCAGTATCAGGGCCAGGATGTCCTTGGAGATGCTATGGATAAATGAGAGCCATAATGGTGGGAACTCAAGCCCAAGCTGGAGAACCAGAGAGTGGGACCTGGGCCCAACTGTCACCACTGTTCCACACACTGAGGATGCAGTGTTGAATCTGTCAGACAAGGAAGGTCTCATGGAGCTTAGCTTTCAGTAGAGTGGTGGATGACAGCCAAATACACACACAGTGAAGGCCATTTCAGAGAATGGTTAACCGCTTTGAAGGGAGAAACAAAACAGAGTGATCAGCTAGACAGCAAAGGGGTAGAAGTGAGGGCCTGACCTTTCTGAGAGGGTGACATGAGGAGAGAACTGAGAGGGGAGAAGGCAGCATCCAAGTGAAGATCTGAATAAAGGATCCAGGCAGAGGGAACAGCAAATGCAAAGGCCCATAGGCCACAAGTGACCCATTTACTTTTCCAGCAGTAGCAGCAGCAGTAGCAGCTGCATCTCTGTGAGCCTCCAGACACTGCCTGGGCAGGCAGGACCCCATGGCTGCAGGACCCTGGAGCTGTCCAGCCTCTATATGCTGAGGGGCCCTGACATATACCCCATTCCTTCCTACCCTACTTGGTTGACCAGAAGGATGCTGGCACAGCTAGGGGCTGCTTCTGCCATTGTAGTAGGAAGCCCAAGAAGAAGTGAGGGCATCTTCAAGCAACCCAACACCTTCCAACTGGCACAAGACAGCTTATAGCCAGCTTCTGGGTCAGTGATCAGGAGTGGATGTCTTTATGTGCAGAACATTCTGGCTAGGCCCCAGGACACAGCAGCTGTGGATCATTGTGTTTTCTCCAGAACTGTGAATCAGATTTTCCTGGTTCAGTAATAGCTGATGAAGCAAAACCAGCAGGGATCCGAATTTGTAAAATGTGGGTGTACCAGAATGATAACTGGGATGGAAAAAATGACGGGTCTACTCACTGCTAGAAACTTAATCTTCCTCTTAGGAAACAAGTGCAGTGTGCACGTTGCATAGCAACCAAATATCTTGACTGACAGAGTGGGAATCAACAGTGCCCACTCAAAGTTGGCAGGCAACCGAGATGCTTTGAATGTGTGTCGCTCTCCACAGTCCTGACAGTAATCCAGTTTCCTGCATCAGGCTCCTGAAAGGACTCACTGTACCTCTTCCGAGTTTCCCATTCCAGGGCTTCCACCTGCAATTTTTCCCATTCTAGTACACTCACATTTTACAAATTCAAGTCAGTTCTGCTTTCTCTGTGATGGCCGTGACTGAACCAGTTCAAATTGGTTTGAAACCCTGGTTTTCCCAGGATAGAAGTCTCAAGGAGGAAAGAACTATTGGTCAAGAACTGGCTTTTCGGTCCCTGGCTTGTCATATACAGCTGGTGGTCTTGGGCACAGGTGTGGCCCTGGATCTTGAAGGACAAGGAACACCAGTGGAGAAACATGCTTTTACCATGACAGTGTGGCTTGGAAAGACTGAGCAGAGGAGTCCTATCTCGAGCTGAGCAGGGAAAGCCTGCAGAGTGGGGATCAGGGTTATCTCTTGGGAATGGCATTATGCTTAGTGTATGGTTATATAACATGCAGTTGGTGTGTGTGTGTGTTTACATTATCTCTACTGGCCTTGTAGCTCGTATCTGCAGCTGCATCTGCTTATGGGTGGGTCATTCTGACTGTGCCCAAATGTGAAAGCGCAACTGTTGCATTCGTTGCACTTTCCCGCCTTCTTGCCTGTGTTGCTTCAGGAGATGGAGCAGTTGGAGGAGAACAGGAGGGAGGGGCTCTGCTTGCAGCTCCCCTATTCATTGTCACCCCACCCCCAGACTCATTGTCCCCAGCACACAGACACATCCTGTTGGCATGATCAGGGAATCTGATAGGAATCCTGCCATTCCAGGTTTCCGGTTTGAGAAACGGGGCTGGGGGCTGGACAAGGGCCTGAATAGGGGGTGGAGGTGCCCATCAGATTATCTCACTTGGATAGTCTGAGGTGGCCCCACCCGGTTGCAGGGACAGAGTAGTACAGGCCTGGAAGTGAGCCAAGGAGCCAGTAGACCGGAAGGTAGCATTGTCATGGTCATGTGCGTTCTGGTTCCACCTACCTCAAAGAGTTCCTGTTGACCCCTGCAGAGTCTCGGAATGAGTTCTGATTGGTCTCATTGACCAAGCTTGGCATTCTGTGGCCAGTCAGAAAAGGAGGAAGGGACAACCCACCAATAGCAAAGGACTAAGCTCTAGTGCAGGCAGATGCATTGGAGTTCTAGACTCATTTCCTCCCTCCCCACCCACTGCCAGCTTTGCATATTCTTGCTGTGTGTTTTTGGGAGACCAACAACCTTTTCTGGACTTATTTTTTTCTCTCTGTCTAGGAATGCATCCTTGCATTCTTCCAATAGGGTGTTTGTTAAAAGAATTGGGGGATGTTGGCCCTAGAGAAGGAAATACTTACTGGAAGTTATCTTCAAATATCAAATTAAATAATCTATACAGAGGAATTTCATGTAGTTTAGAGTGGTATGAACAAATTGAAGATTATGATTATTGAGCTCATAATCAGTATTTGCAGGGTTTTCATGTGGTTGCTGGATCTTTTGGGGGCTGAATCAGGGTCTACAAGTCTAAGTGTAAACTTGGTTTGGACTTGGTGTAAGAGTGTCAGAACTGTTTGATGGTTAATCTGCCTGCCTTGTGTAGTCAAAAAAAACCAAACTCACTGCCACTGAGTTGGTTCTGACTTATAGCAACCCCTCCTTGGGTTTCCGAGGCAGTATCTGTATGGAAGTGGATTGCCCCTCTTCCTTCTGAGGAGTGGCTGGTGGGTTTGAACCTCCAGCCTTCTGGTTAGCAGTCAAATGCCTTATGTGAGCAGCTAAATGATGCCTGTCAGGAAGGTGTAGAAGGGATTTTGATCCAGAAGAAGGAAGATTCTTGGGCTGAGTGAAGCAGGAAAGAGTTGTGCACGTTGACCACCAGGGGGCACTGGAGAATTCCAAGTGGACTGTTTTGCTTGACTTGATTCCTGGTCTGGAAGTACCTGCTAGCTAGCTCTCTCTACCTGGGGTTCCAAGTAAGTAGCCTGGATAGACAAGGTCTCCCAATCCTTGAGTCTTCCCAGAGAAGGAATCACAGCATTTGGGAACTGATGGAGAGCCATTACACCAACCTAGGTCTCCAGTCCCTCAGCCTGTTATTTTTTCCTTTAGATAAAATTTTCATCTACAGTCTAGGGAGATTCTTCTTGATGTTCAACCCAGCCTTTGTGTTTACAGTTTTGGCCTGTTCAAACCCTAATGTTGATGGTGAGAAAGGACTGACACCAGTTGTCACGGAGTTGATGCTGATTCATGGTGACCCATGTGTGTCAAAGAAGAACTGACTCAGTAGGGTTTTCTGTGGTTAATTTTTGGGAATTATGATCACCAGACCTTTCTTCCAAGATGCCTCTGGTAGATTCGAACCTCCAGCCTTTTGGTTAGCAGCCTGAGGTGTTAACCATTTGCACAACAGCGACTTTGAGGAAGGATTAGGTGATGAGAATCTTTAACCTTTAGACTAAGCCCCAACCCCTGGCATTCTGGTCTTGCCAACTCCTTTTCCAGGAGTAGAGCCATCCCTGCTCTCTTTACTCCCAGAGCATCTCCCTGGGCCACTGCGCCTACTCCCAAACTCTCCTGGTCCTGGGATCTCATCCCCAGGGCTGGCATCCCTCACTGAAGCTGCCCCCCTCTCTGCTGCAGGTATGTGCATTACTTCAGTGGCCTCCTCTCCGGCTCCATCAAAATGAACAACAAGCCATTGTTTCTGCACCACGTGATCATGCATGGCATCCCCAACTTCGAATCTAAAGGAGGTACCTGCCCAAGCCCTCCACCTTTCCTTCCCCTCTGCCTCCTTCCAGCTCCTTCTCTTAAAAAGCAGCCTTGGGTGGTAAAAAGCCTGTTAGGGCAGAACCGTAAGGCTTGGATTGCTGTCTCAATGGCTTCAAAGACTGGGACTTCTTTGAGTCTAATCTATTCAGTTGCAAAATGGGTTTGATATTTGCAGTGCCTGCTGGCAGGTCCTGTTGGGATGTGGCAATGTTCTCTAAACTGAAAATGCTTACAGATGAAAAGTTAGCATTCCTTCCCTTTTCTTCCCTTTGTTTCTTTCCTCTTTTTCTTCCTGCCTCTCCTTGGCCCCTCCCTTTCTTTCTGTTCTCTCTCCTCTCCTCCTTCTGTCTCCTACTGTTTCCCCTTCTTAGCTAACACCCATCCCTCCCTTACAGGATGTCGACCCTTTCTCCGGATCTACCAGGCCATGCAACCTGTTTATACATCAGGCATCTAGTAGGTATTCCATTGGAATGAGATGCCAGGGCCGCCCAAAGCCCCAGGCTGAGGACCACGGGGATGGTGGTGTCCAGCAGGTGGCATCAGCTGAACTCTTCTAGAAAGAGTTGAAAGGATGAAGTCAGTGAGGATTCCCAGTAGACCGTCTGGGAGAGGGGCAGCATGTGCTCCCCACCCCCACTCTCAGTGGCCTCTCTCCCTCTGCCCACCTCTCTCCCCAGCAATGTCCAAGGAGACAGCCAGACCAGCATCTGCATCACCATTGAGCCTGGGCTGCTCTTGAAGGGAGACATCTTGGTGAGTGCCTCTCCTCTGACTCAGAGCCCACCCTCATTTATTTTTTTTCTACTTTCTTTTCTCCTCCTGCAACCCCCCCCCCACACACACACTTCTTGCCTCTCCAGACAGCTAAGTGGGCTTCAAGCCTTGGTGTTTTAGGCTTTCAGGGCTCTTGCAAGGCCTTCTAGCCTCAAATGGTCCATTGTCCATTCCCTTGCCTCTGAGTTGGACATTCCTTCTTTGGTGTTTCTTTCTTGTTCTGGAACATCTCTAAGAAACTCTCTCATTGTGAGCTGGTTACCTCCTGGCTTCCTATTGGTGACAAGGACTGTCTTATTTCTAATGTCAGTCCTTTCTGCTGCAACTTAAATCCACTCCTACTTTTTCCATACTGGAAAGTTCTCTGTGCAGGGACTTCTTGGGAGGACAGGTCAAAGCTGGCTTCTAACTCTGTGCTGTTCTAGAAGTTCCCCCGGAAAGCTCTGAAATTCTGTTTGGTTTCGGTGACTTTTCCTTCACTGGGTTTGGGGTGAGCCTGGGGATTAAGGGGAGATGAGAAAGAGGACCCTAGGGCCTCATTTCCCACTCTCAGGCCCCTGACCAGCCCTACTCCCCTTCTCACTCAGCTGAAGTGCTACCACAAGAAGTTCCGGAGCCCAGCGCGTGACGTCATCTTCCGTGTGCAGTTCCACACTTGTGCCATCCATGACCTGGGTATTGTCTTCGGGAAGGAGGACCTTGATGATGCCTTCAAAGGTGGGCTCTTTGAGTGGGACAAATGGTGGAAGCTCTTTTGCCAGGGAGGGGAGCCCAGCTGGAGAAGATATGCTGGACATGAAGGCCATCTTTAACGAGCTAAATGGTCTGCCAAGTATCAGGGTGTTCTTGATGATAATGGGAGAGAATGTTTGAGGATAGAATGGCCTGAGAATTCAGGTTGTCAGTAGAAGTGGAGATGAAGATGGTGCTCACTCTTCCTCCCAATCCCTGGGGTGACTTATATCCTGCAACCTTTTCTTACTAGTTTCCCTGTACTTACTTCATCTTGTTCTAATTTGTCGCATATTCTGTGGACAATAATTTTTTTCAACACTCATTGGCATTTCCTTTGAGCCAGGCATTGTACCAGGGATTGAAAGAAAATGACCTGGTCTGTGGCTTGGTAGAGCTCAGAAACCTCACTGAGTGGGGAGGCAGATCTAAAAAGTAATTATACCATGCCATAATAAGAGCAATAACAGAAGTGCTGTAGCACAGATGGTTAAATGAAAGGTTAGTGGTTTGAATCCACCCAGAGGAGCCTTGAAAGAAAGGGCTGGCAGTCTACTTCTTAAAGGTCATGGCCACTGACAACCCTGTGGAGCAGTTCTACTCTGATACACATAGGGTCACCATAAGTCAAAATTGACTCAGCAGCAACAGTTGGTGGTGGCAGCAGTGAAGAGAGAACCATTTTCCAAGGGAAGAGGGAGATAGTCAGGGAAGGTATGATGTCTCTCTGTGCATCTTTCCTTTATCCACTTGAGGTTTTAGCTATATCACATTCAGCCCCAGGGCATGTCCCCATCCATCTGTTCTTCTGTCCATTTATCCATCCATCCATCCATCCAACAAGCATCCCATGCATGTCTGTATGTACCTGGTGTGTGCTTAGCCCTGGAGATACAGAGAGAAGGAAGTGAGGCCCTGCCCTCAGGCAGCTCACAGTCTTGAGGGAGAAAGTGACACAGAAATCTGATTCTATGAAGTGATGTATGCATCGATGGACACATGCATGGACCGTGGTCTCCAAGGAGAGGGGACACCCGTCTCTGCTGCCACTTCTCTTCCTTAATGAGTTGATGGTGTTCTCTGTCCAAATGGGACTCTGGGCAGAAGTAGAGCTGGGGCCGTAGAGGAAGGGGCCTAATCCCCCCAGTGTGGTCTGGCTCATGCAAGAGGAGGCCTCTGTGATGGGCTTTCCCTACACTGGAGCCAAGAGGGAAAACCCAGAAATGCTGCTATAATTACACAACAGGATGTAAATGTGCTCCATCTTTATGAGGAAAATTGAAAGTAGAGTTAACAAAATAAAGGTAGGGTTGGGGACAGGTAGAGGGAAGGTAGGGGAGAAAATGTCCTCTTCTTACATGGTGGAAGTTCAGAGACACCATCTACAGTGGACAGATCAAGAAATAGAGGCTTCAGAAAAACTGGATGGTGCCAGGCTACCACTACCGACCACTCTGACCAGGATCTCAAGAGAAGATCCTATACAGAGAAGGAGAAAAAAATGTAGAACAAAATTCAAAATCATAAAAAGTCTGATGGAACCCCCAAGATTGTTGCCTTCAAACCTGGAACTGAAACCACTCCCAGGGATCAACTTTCAAGCAAATAATAAAACCAAAAAACCAAACTCACTGCCGTGGAGTCGAATCTGCCTCATAGCAACCCCTCCTTGGGTTTCTGAGGTGGTATCTCTACAGAACTAGATTGCCCAATCTTCCTTCTGAGGAGTGGCTGGTGGGTTTGAACCTCCAGCCTTCAGGCCTATAAAGTGACTAGTAACACGAGGGGCAAATGTGCTTCTCAGTACAATCAACCATAGGGGACCAAAAGGGCAGTATTTGCCCAATAACAGAGCTCAAAAGACAGGAAGGAGCAGGGAAGAAGGATGGATGGAAATGAGGAACCCAGGAGGAAGTGGAAGGAGTGCTGTTACATTGTGGGGATTCAGCCAATGTTATGAAATGAAATGTGGTTAAATCATTAAATGGAAAAATAATGTACTCTGTAAACTTATTCAAACTACAATAAAAAGTTCAAAAAAGAAAAAAAAGAAATGGTGGCTAAACTGTATTATTTAAAGTCTTTCAATGGCAATCAAGAAAATGAATAAATAATAATAATAGTAATAATGAAACTAACCAGATTTAAGAAGAAAGGAGATGGGAGTGAAAGAAATCAGCCACATTATTCATCTGTATAGTGGTAAATTGGTAGGGATGATTGAGAATCAATTTATCTAGAAACAATGGCATAAAGCTATCACTTAGAGTCTTAGAAGAAACCACTAGTAGAATAAAAAATAGAAATGGGTACTTCAGGCAAATAGGATTGGAGCTGGGATTGGAAGAATATATAATGATAATAATAGTATCTATCTGTCTCTCTCTTATTATGTCATTAACCTCGTGCATATATATTAGGTCCTTGGATGGCACCAGTGGTGTGCACTTACCTACTAACCTAAAATTGGTGGTTTGAATCCACCGATGGTGTCATGGAAGAAAGTCTTAGGAATCTCTTTTCGTAAAGATGACAGCCAAGAAAACTCTATGGAGCCGTTCTGCCCTGTAACACATGGGCTGCTCTGAGTCAGAACTGACTCAATGACAGTGGCTTTGGTTTGGTTATAGATATATAACATATGTGTATATTATGTATATAGGGAGCTCTGGTGGCATAATGCCTAAGGCATTTATTTGACTGCTAACCAGAAGGCTGGCAGTTCAAACCCATAATAATAATGTATATATATTACTTTAATTTTTTTCTGGAAAACATCTCATGGATTCTTATTTGGGAATTAATGGCCCGTTTCGGTTTTTACTTTTCGTTTCTCAGATGATCGGTTTCCAGAATATGGCAAAGTGGAGTTTGTGTTTTCCTATGGGCCAGAGAAAATTCAAGGTATAAGCCAAGTTTTATCTGTTGTCCTGTCCCTTCATTTGGTCCTGACCTTCCCTCTCCCCACTCCTGCCATCATTCCCATTGTCTACTCTATACTTACCAGGTTTGCTGTGACTGAGATGCAGGTCAACAGTAAAGGAGCTAGGTATCAGAGTGGACCCCTAGCTAAACGAGAAACAGTGACTTAATATGTGGATAATAAAAATAAAAAAGCAGACAGAGAGGCGCTGGGCTGGATAAACATAAACTGCCCAGGTCCCGTTAGGTCATCATCCTGTTATATTCAGACTGAAGGCCATGGTAGGTGGCGGGAGTGGCCAAGGGGAAGGTCAAAGGTGTTGGATGGATGATGAGAACTGAGGTTCAGCTGAACTGATTCAACCTGAAGATAAGAAGGCAAATTTAATAATAGCCTTTAAGCCTCTAGACTGTTACATGTGAAGACCAGTTGTTCCCCATCTTATTTGAGAACAAAATGTGAGGAGATAAAGTTAGGTTATAGGCAGAAGGACTCTGGATAGATTAAAGAGAGAACTGCCAAACTAGGACTCACCCTGAACTCCTGGCTTGTAGCTTGTGCTGTGTTCATTCCTGGGGCTTCCTCTGATGAGTAGGAGAGACTCCACCTCTCCTCTTAGATTGCTGACTACAGTGGAGGGCATCTTCAGTGGGGGCCAGGGAGCTGCTAGGATGACCTTTTAGAGACCTTGTGTCCTCTCAGAGTCAAGGCTGTAGCTTCCTTGCTGTCCCTGACCTCATGCAAGCCTTTCCAACACACCTTTCCCTGACTCCAGTGGTAGACTCTTTAGGGTCTCTTGGCATTGCCCCAGGGGTCCCAGACCCTGAAAACAAGGAGCACCTACCTACCCAGAGGTCCTCTCAGCTATCTCCTAGGGATCTCTATTCCTCAGTGCCCCTGTCCTTATTTACCCCTATGACCTAGTACGACCCTTTTCAAGAATTCAAGAAACCAGATTCCTGGGTTCTCCTTCCAACTTAAGCTGCTCGTTCCCCCTGGCCCCTCCATGCTCAAGAAAATGAGAAGTCCCCGAGGAGCGTTGGTGGGGGAGCTGATTGGCTTCCTCTGTTCTTCCAGCTGCCGATCTTGTTTTCCTTCTCCTCACTGACACTTCTCTACCGTTCCACTCAGGCATGGAGCACCTGGAGAACGGGCCGAGCGTGTCTGTGGACTACAACACCTCCGACCCTCTCATCCGCTGGGACTCCTACGACAACTTCAGTGGGCATCGAGAGGATGGCACAGAGGGTAGGTGGGGACCAGTGGCTTCCAGCTACTACTCACTTGGCCCCCATCCTATAGCTTGCTGCCATACCACACTGGTCAGAGGAAAAGCATAAGTGGGTGGCCCAGAGGGGGCGAAGCAGAGGAGAGGAGTTCACAGTATAAGGCAAAACATACCAATATGTTAAATTATGAGGACAGAGCTAAGAATGCAGCCAAATAGCCAAAGGAGGTGTCACAGGAGTACACCATAGGTGCCAAAGAGTCCCATAGACAGTGGTGCTCTGAGATCGTTGGGGGAAAGATTCCTGAGAGCTAGTGTAGCCCAGAGGGCTCCTCGAAGGAGGTGGCCTTGAGTGGAGCTTCCAAGATCCTACTGGTCTCAGAGGTACCCCAGCGCTGCCAACCCAGCACTTGTTAGATTTCTTTTAGACCCCCAGTGGGGTTTCTTCAGGCCTGCTGCCTGCATTTGCTGGGGTCAGAGCATTAGGAACGCAGACACAGCAGGCCCCAGCTGCAGCCTTTCAACAGTCCACGGAAATGCGTGAGTGCTGAAAACAAACTGATGGGCTCCCAAAATTGAAAACAAAGCTGCAGAATTGAAGTTAATACATGTTTAATTTAGTTACAAAACCTAACATTCTATCAAACGGTTGACAGCAGCTCAACTCTTGAGAGAGTCATATATGAGTTTGGTTTGTTTATGTGGCTCATTTAAATGTGTGTCCTGGGATGTGGGATGGGGCCTCTGAAAGTGACATGCCTGGGGCCCTGGAAGGTTCTCAGATGCACTGTCTGGGGTTTGGACACAGGCTTGTTTTCTGGATGGGGTCATAAAAATAAAACCAAACTCACTGCCGTCGAGTAGATCCCGACTCATAGCAACCCCTCCTTAGGTTTCCAAGGTGGTATCTCTAAGGAAGTAGATTGCCCAATATTCCTTCTGAGGAGTGGCTGGTGGGTTTGAACTGTCAGCCTCCTGGTTAGCAGTCAAATACCTTAGGCACTGTGCCACCAGAGCTCAGACTGCAGAATGTTAGAGCTGGGAGTGGCCTTGATGCTGCCTGTCCATCCTTCCGTTTTCAGTTGGGGTAACTGATGCCTGAAGGAAGGATCTCCTGGTTTACCCCCACTGCCTGGTTTACCCTCTTACCATCTGCGTTGGGTGGCTATCATAACCTAGCCTCTGAGCTTCTCCTCCCTGCTGAAGCCAGTTCTGGGGTGGTGTTGTGTCCTCCTGGGGACCCTTTGGCCATAAGGCAGAGCAGGGCCAGAGAGAAACCTGTTCTCTTTCTTCAACTACCTTGCCTCCTGCCTCCCTTTCCTATGTTTTGGATCTGTTGACTCCACCTTGAGAGGCTTTCAGGTCTTTCCTTGAGTAAAGTTGCTCCCTTTGAACTTGACATTGGAGACATGAGAATAGAAGTGGATTTCAGAGAGAGGTGAAGGATAGAGGTGAAGGATAGACTAGCATTTATAGACCTGATGAGGGGAGAGATTTACATGCAGCCTTGCAGAGCTGATGGCTTATCTTCTTACCTACCCCTTGGGCCTCCTCCCCTACTTCCTGGGGAGCCTTTTCCTCCCCAGGAACCCAGTGCCCTCAGATGGCCTGAGCCGCCCCACCAGGCCCTCCCTACCTGGAGAGGCTGCCTTCTGGATGCAGTCCTCTTCCTCCCCCACCCCGTCCTCTTGTGCTGAGTGGCTGAGGAGAAAGCGGCTGATGAAATGACTCCTTCTGAGGTACCAGTGGCTGGCAGCCCAATTGTTCATCGTCCTGGGGTGTTTGCATTTTTAACAAGAACATTTGGCAATTTGAAGGAATTTTCAATTCTCCCCATCTCTCCCTGGTGCAGATTCAGGGTGATGATAAGCATAAAAACATTTAGTAAAGTACAAAATGCCAGGCAGATAAAAGGTAAAATAATTAAGGGGACAGAGGAGGTGGATGTGGGACCGACAGGGCTTGGGGTGGAGTCAGCTGTGAGGGGAGGAAGGAGAACAGTGGAATGAGCAAGAGAGGAAGGGGCTGGACACGGGCAGAACCTGGGTGCGCTGCCTCACCCCGTCCACTTCTCTCTGCTCTGATCTGCTCCCCCAGGCAGGGGATGGAGTCGCAAGGACCTTTTGGCCAGTTAAAGGTCAGCTCGTCCTGCAGGGACAGAGGGGCTGCTGTGTAGTGACTGAGAGGTTGGCCCTGTGCCTGGAAGATGGGAAGGGAGGCAGGGAAGCAGCTGCTGCCTCTGCTGTCTGCTCGCCTGGCCTGGCCTAACTGGGCTGGGCCTGGGCCCGGGAGCTCTGCAGCTGGGCAGTTACCGGGTGAGACCGCACTTCTGCCCCCCACCCCCCAGCCATGAGTGTCCTGTGGGCACCAGCTGTGGAGCAGGAGGCCATGGTGGGTAGAGCAGGAGCAGTGACAGTTACCCTAAATCTGCTTCTCTTCCTAGTTGGGGTATTTCTGGAAGGGTCTAGATTCTGAAGATCAGAGGCAAAAACATTTTCCTCTGGTTTATTCTTTGATTGAGAGAAGGAGTTCAGATGCTTTCATCTGTCTCTCTAGTTCCCCTTGGACGGGCTAGGGTAAGGGCAGCTGGTCAACTCACCCTCAAGACCAGGGTGCTCAGGAGATGGCTCAAGCTGGAGCTGGAGGGGGCTTGGGCATTCCCTGGAGTGGATGGTACCCAAGATGCTTCGCTCTGTGCAGAGGCCCTGGAGCAGGAACGCAGAGTGACCACAAAGCTCTGTAGTGCAGTTATGGAGGTTTGTTTTAGAGCCGTCCTGCCTGGGTTCAAATCTCAGATCCTCCCTTGGACAAATTCTTTAGCCTTTCTGTGTCTTAGTCTTAAACTGAGTAAACCAAAATTGAGTACCTATTTTAATTGGAGTTTTGTAGCAGTTTTTTGAGAGGCAGTTTGCACAGTGGTTAAGAATGTGGCCTCTGGAGCCAAATTGTTGTTATATACTGTAGAGTTGATTCTGGCTCACGGTGACCCTACAGACAGAGTAGAATTGCCCTATAGGGTTCCCTAGTCATCTTCATGGGAGCAGACTGCCATGTCTTTACTCCCATGGAACAGCTGGTGGGTTCAAAGCATGACCTTTTGGGTTAGCAGCTGCGTGCTTAACCCTTGCTGTACCAAGGCTCATTGGAGCCAAACTACCTGGATTCACATCTCAGCCCTTGATGGCCGTCCTTGGGCAAGATGCTATCCTCTTGGAGCCTCAGTTTTCTCTGCTGTAAAATGGAGATGCAGTCAACAAATCTTTCGGAGTGCCTTGTGAGGAACGGGAGCTGGCAGGGGCAGGGGAGCTGTTGTGTTTCCCCATGAGTCTGTGACATCATTGGTGACTAGTCAGTATCTTGGGGGTCTTCAGCATGGCCAAGGGAACAGGTCCTTTGACCTTAGGCACCAGCCACAGTGTCAAGAATTCAGTGAAGAGATGAAGCTCATTTAATGCTCACAGCCATTAAATGCTCACAGCGCAGCCCCATCCAGGTCAAAGATGGTATCTATTCTGAGTGCCAGGCTCAGTGCCTCCTGCCCATCTTCGGGTACCAAGTGGCCTCCAGAGGAACTGGCTTGGCCTGAAACAGAAGAAATGGGCCACGTCCAGAAATGCTCAGCTTCTGCCTCGGACACACTACCCCTCCATTATTTTGAGCAGTGGCCTCCCACCAGATACATTCCTGAACGAGCAGCCCCACCCCTCCCATGCAGGGCAGGGTTGGGAAGGGGGATGAGTTTGTGCTGTTACCTGGAATGAAGTCCTCTGAATACCTGCCACCAGATAAGCCCAGGGGTCTCCTGGGGTCCCACACTCCATGTACCACCTCATCTGATCCCCCCCTTATCCAGACAGGCAGGACAGGGGGTGAGCTTTTCTGACTCTTCACTAGCTTGGCAACCCTGGGAAGGTTACTCAACCTCTCTGTACCCCAGTGTCCCCATCTTGGGAAGATCACAGCTGGTGCCTGATTCTGGAAGCAGATTGCCGGGTCTTTCTTCTGAGGCACCTGTGGGGGGGTCTCGGACTTCCAACCTTTTGGTTAGCAGCTGAGCATGCCAGGTGTTTGCATCACCCAGGTATTCCCTGAGGTTAGTCAGCCAATCATAAAGCCTGCCTAAGCTGTCCTCCTTCACGATGAGAAAACTGAAGCCCAAGATGGGCAAGGACTTGCAAAGGGGAAGGAAACCCCATGTCTAAGGGCTGCTTCGAGTTAGCTAAGCTCACGCTGGACCAACCCCGTTTAGTGGATGAAGAAACTGAAGTGTGGAGAGGTTAACAATCTCTCAGAGTCATGCCGTCATGCCATAGTGTTGGAATTGGTGCATGAATCCAGTGTGTCTGACTCCACATACCTTCCCACCTTTCTTGGTGTTCAGCTCATTCAACCCCTCACACACCCCTTAATTCAGGTGGCCTTTTATTTTGGAGGGCTGTCAACTCCTCTTCCAGCTCTTAGGATGGCAGGGAACTGCCCTGGGGACAGCTTGACCACACGAGACAACCCATTTCACTATTGGATGGATCCAGGAGGTAGAGCCTTGGAAAAGAGGGAAGAGGGACCATTGTGCCTCTGCACAATGAACCGAGGCTGTGGTAGTGATGGGTGCTTGAGGACCACTGTAGCTCATTTGCATTTAGGTCAGAAGGCGTGGGAAAAGATGAAAGATGAAGAACAGAATGGAAGCTCACTATCAAGAGCTTCCTGACTAGACAAGGTCCAAGGGCCTGGGACAGCTGGCCAGGGAGCGGAGGGGTGCCTGCCATCACATGCCATTGGCCTTTGGTCCTGGTGGGGGGGAATTGAAGGTCCAGGGGTGGGTTGTGGGGAGAGGTCTGTGCCTCACTGGCCTTCTCCTGGCAGCTTTCTGACTCTCCATTGGGTCTGGAGCCTGCCAGCTCAGCGCTCTGGCTGACACCATGTTTCACAGCCTCCAGAAGTGCCATTAATGATTTGGCCCAAGTTCTGAAGCCCTGTGCTCAGATCCCAGCTCTCCATGGGTGGGAGCAGCGCTGTG